ACACAGAGGAAGAAAAAAAAACGAAGCAGGCTCCACCAGCCCAGCCTCAGGAAAAAGCCCTCAGCCAGGGAGGCGGCCCGTCCCGGTCAGCGCCCTCACTGCTGCTGCAGGGCTCCTCCAGCACAGCCCACAGCTGCGCTCCTTCAGGAGCCCAGGGCGCCCCTGCACAGCACTGTCCATCCCCTCCCCTCACAGACCCCCTGTGCAGCTGTTTCACACCGAAGGGAGGCTAAGCACTACCCGACTGCTCTCTCTTTCTCTCCCCGAAAAGACATGGAGAGAAAACATGAAGAATAAAGTCCCAAAAATTGAGATAAGGACAGGAAAATCCCTCACCAGTTACACAGTCAAAACAGAGTCAGTACAGGGAGATAATGTAATTTATTGCCTACTAATAGCAGACTAGAGCAGTAAGCACTAAGAACTGAATAACCCCCATTTATCTTTTTCTACTTCATCCCTCCATGCTGCACAAGGAAACGGGGAACAGGTTGGCAGTCAGCCCGTAACGCTTGGTCTTTGGCACTCCTTCCTCTTCACTCCTTTACCTAACCCTGCGTGGGTCCCTCCCATGGGCTGCCATTCTCCCTGCAGAGCGCAGTTCTTCAGCACAGGTCTGTACGTGGACCTCCAGCATGGAACTCCCCACGGTGGGCAGCTCCCAAACCTCACGCTCCAAGGGTTCCTCTCCGAAGGCCCACAGCCTGTTCCTGTGGAGGCTCTCCATTGGCTGCACCGTGGTCTTCTTCACAGGCTCACAGCATGGAGATCTGCTCTGCAGAGGGACGGCCTGCTCCACCGTCCACCTCTGCACACTGCAGGGGACCTCCTGCCCTGGTGCCTGGGGCGCCGCTTTCCCTTTCTTTTTCACCATGTCGTCGCTGCCCACATTTTCTCACTCTTCTTTCTCAGCTGCTGCTGTGCAGTACTTGTTCCCTTTCTTCAGTGTACTCTCCTAGAGACGTGACCTGCATCACTTGTTGTTTCAGCCCTGGCCAGCAGCAGGTCCCTTTCCAAGCTTCCTGGAACTGGCTCTTATCTAGCATGGGGCAGCTTCTGAATCCCCCATAAGGGCCACTCCTGCAGCACCCCCATACCAAAACTTTGCTATATAAAGTTGATACAAATGATAGCTGCTCCCCAGCGCAAAAGGGCTACAAACACAACCAGCAGTGCAGGCAAAAATGCAACTCTGTATTAACACATGCACATAATCCCAGGAGGGACGCTGCCCATATGCTCTCCCTTCCTCTGGGGCGCAGCAGCACTCAGTTCTGGAGCAGCTTCCTTTCATCCACCTCATGGAGAGCAGTTGCCTCCTTGAAGCCCTGAACTGCAGAGCAGAGGAGGAAGAAAACTATGGAAAAGAGTGCAGATCAGAAGCAGAGAAGAAATGGATAGCCAGGGGTTTCATGGCTGTAAGATTTTGGGTTATTGGTATTCCATATCATAACATCATATAGCCCACTGGAAGTTAAAGCTCAAGTTCTGGGTACCTGTTGTGGCAACAAGGAGAACCTGGTGCTCAATATGAGTGATCAACAAGTCTCATTTATTGATTACCAAGGATTCTCTTTTATACATATCTTAATAATCCTCATACATAGTGCAAAAGCAAGCTCATCATTGGAGCTTAAAGCTGAATGCCAAACCCTCCCACCTTATGCCTGTTCTTCATTCCTTTAGATATTGCTTCTGTTTCTTTGTATCCACCATGTCCTGTGTCCTTGCTACGTTAACAATTTAGACAAGCTGGGTTCTGTAATCCTCAAACTCGTGATCAGCAAGTTGTATCATGTTTATGTGCCCTTTGTCAGGTAGCCATTCCTCCACAACCTGTCCCAGAAGAGAAGAACTACACACTGCAGAGGACTTTGCACTATTTGTGCTACAGTTTCTGTTCAAAGAAGAAATAAAACTGGCAGTTGCAAGACACCCCCCTCCTCCCCCACTCTCCTTTTCCCTTTTTATCCCAACAAAGAATCACAAGGTTGGAAACAACGTGCAAGATCATTTAGTCCAACCATCACCACTGCTACCACAAGCACTAAATCATCTCTCGTAGCTCCTCATCCAGATGCCTTTCGAACGCTGCCAGGAATGGTGACTGCACCACCTCCCTGGGCAGCCATTGCAGTGCCTGACCACTGAAAGAAGTTTTTCCTTATGCCTAATCTAAACCTCCTCCTCTGGTTCAACTTGCAGCCATTTCCTCGGGTCCTGTTTGTTGCCTGGGAGAAGAGGCCAAACTCCTCCTCATCACAGCCTCCCTTCAGGAAGCCGTAGAGAGCAGTGAGGTCTGCTCTGAGCCTCCTTCAGGGCAAATCATCCCAGCTCCTACAGCCACTCCTCTGAAGACTGCAAAAACTCCTGGGTAACCCCTTACTACACCCAGTTGTAGCAATCCTGTAGGGAAGGTAGGGGGCAAGTAACAAGGCCCAGCCCTGACTGACAGCAAGGACAGGAGGTCTGCTGCCTTACGGTCACCCACCTTCACCCACCCGGCAGCATCAGCCACCCTGCAGGGAGAGTCTCTGTCAGTGCCAGGGGGCTGCACTGCACTGCACAGACAGAACTGCTGCAGCATCAGCAACACCTCGCTGTGACGCAGCGTCTGCAGATACCTTCTTTGATATCTTGGGCTTATAAAACTTCTCCTTGCCTTCTCAATTTAAATCCTAAATAAGCCCTAACTCTTATCTTTAAGAAGAATTCTTAACTAAACTTGCTCCCAAAATAAAGCCGAACTTGAACCCTACTCCAGCTCCTAATCCCAACTCTTTTCCTGAATTTAACTTCCTTTTAATCTGTCTGAAGCCTTATGCCTTTGCCTCAGGCACAAAATATCCATCACTGCAGTAATCCTCAGTCATTTTTATCTCATTTTGAAACCTGCCTTGCATGGAGTACAGGAAATTGTTCTTCAAAGAATTACCAGATACACATTTGCTTCACCAATTCCTCCCCACTATCACTTCTTGTCCTGCTTATAAAAAGTCACTTAATCCTAGATTACAAAAGTAAAGTAAGAAAGCATCAAATGTTTCCTTCTCGCCCAGGTAAAGTTATGTCTGAAGGCCTGGCACCTGCACAGATAAAAAAAACTGACGGGATGTTACAGCTGGAAAGACAATCATGGTGAAAACAGGAGAAGAAACAAACAGAGAAGGAATGCTCACCTGTAGCCAAAGATCCCAGTCTGCAGGAAAGACTTCAGAGGAGGGATCTCCAGAAAGCCATCCCTCCCCACAGGCAGTCAGCCCTTAAATGGGGTCTAGGAGAGGTGCAACCAGGCCCCACATTGCCTGTCCCACAGCTGAATCGCCTTCACCTGCGCTGCCGTGGCTGATTCAGTCCTTTGCTCAGGTGATCAATCAATCCTTGACTATGCCTTGAGTTTGACCTGAACCCCACCACAATTTTTTTCACGGATTTACTCTATCTAAATTTGTGTAACTTCTCCCTTCCAGCTCCCCTTGCAAAGCGAACTCCCTATGATCATCCCCATCTCTGTATTTACCCACTTTCTTTGCATTGTACTCACCAATGGCTTTTTTTCTCCGAGAAAGTGAAGAAGCGACAGAAACTAAACAGTAAATGCACATTTCTCCTCTCAGATTCCCATGCAAAAGCCCGCATGTCTTTTGCTGCTCCAAGACGAAAGGGGTAGAAAGCATGGGACTTGTTATTACCACAGGATGCAATTGCTATTACTGCTACTTGCTTTTTCTCCATTAGGAAGTGTGTAGATGTATTTTTTTCAAAATTAAAATTAATTTTTTCTCATCTGCTGAGATTTCCTAGATAACCTTTCAGGTAGAAATACTCCAGATCTATCTTTATAGATATTCGTGGGTTTTTTTCATACAGGCTGTTTGCTTTCTTCTCAAATTAAAGTTACTACTTCTGCTCCCAATTTCACCGACTTGCTGTAATAATTCTAGGCCTTCCTCTCCTCTTTCACCTTTTTGTCTTCTTTCTGCTCTCCGCACACTTCACTTCTTTATGCTGTTCCTTCTCGACAGTCTGCTGGGCTCTGACACTTTAAACACTTCAACCCTGAAACAAAACCTCCTTCAGGGTTTCAACTGCAGCTTGTTCATCTTGTCAAGTATTTCTAATGTTTGTATAGAGGAAGGCTGGCTGTTGGCACAGCTTATTCCAGTCTCCTCTCAGCTTCCAAGCTCTAGATCCAGCTGTAAATTTTTGTTCACTGATGGTAAGTAATAACAAGAGCAAAGCATACATCGAAGGACCAAGCACAGAAGCCAGATTTCTCCACTATTAAGGATTTCTCATGGACACTTTGGCATTTTTGCAAATGGCAGCAGATCATGAAACTCCTACATATACATAAGAAAGACCTGAGGAGTAACAGTCCTCACTGTTGTCAGGCCATTAAAAGCCTGTGCTTGCACACCCCCTTTATGTCTGTGTGTTTACCTACAAGTAAGCAGAAACCTGAAAACTTGAGGATGTTGGAGTCTTTTATCAGGAGCAAAAGAAACCAATTATATCAAGTTAGCCCTTTTAGCAGAGCCTGAGATCATCACCTCCTGCATATGTAGAATCATAGAATCACAGAATCACAAGGTTGGAAACGACCTGCAAGATCATCTGGTCCAACCCCCCTCCCATTCCTATCAGTACCACAAGCACTGAACCAGATCTCGTAGCTCCTCATCCAGGTGCCTTCTGAACACCACCAGGGATGGCGACTCCACCACCTCCCTGTGCAGCCATTCCTGTGCCTGACCACCCTTTGAGAGAAAAAGTTTCTCCAAGTTTCATTTCTTCACCACGGATGGGGGTAAATGGCCCCTCTTTGCTCAGCAGTCTCCAGGTCTCAGTGGTCTCACAGAAAGCGATCTCTTCCTACTCCTTACATAAAATTTTCTGTAGAGGAAGCGTATGAAAAAGCTCCTATAACATTACTTACACCCAAAAGAAGTTTGCAAAAAAAGTTTTCTTTGTTAAAAGGCAGAAGGTAAGCGCAAGAGTTACAAAGAAACAAAGCATTTATTGTTAAAAGCTTTTCTACCACTCACTCATCATCATACAGTGAAGACACGATGGCTACAGAATAGATGGAGTCTCTCTTCCATCTCCCCTCATGAACATGTTTGCTCACTCACAAATTCACAGCTGTGTTTTTTAAATGGAGTATTTTTCTTCAGTGAGATTGGGAAAAGAGTTGATGATACAGGATCTGGTAGAACAGGTACATCCTATTAAACAACAGAGCAGTTACAGAAAGGACATCTCTTTCTTCAGGAAAAAAAAAGTGTCTTCATTTCCCCTTCATCTCTTTGAGCTGCCATAAAAAGGGTTCTCAACACAAACAGGAAAACAACTCGACACCTCACTACTGCTTTAGAAAAATGTGGGCTTGTAGCACATAATACCAACGCTTTCACCAGCTTCAGCAGAACAAATTCTATACAGTGTGATATAAAAGGCTGTCAGCTGAAGCCACGCACGCACTGAACAGCTATTTTGTAAGTGGGACAGCTAAATCCCCACTGGTAACAGCGCGGAAGGTTTGGGCAACGAGTCACCGAGGTGACACAGAACTGCGCCCTGCGTGCCCGCTTCCAAGCCACGTTCCAGCTGGGGATGGCTCTCACACCTGACCCCGACACGGATGCCCACATACCCACATGCACGCAAAATACACAAAACCACATCAGCTGTGCTATTTTCAGCAATGCTCTGCACGTTATCCTGTGCTTTGTCTTAATGGCACTTCAGTGGCACTCTGCCCCCATTTGTTCCTTTCTTTTACAGTCTTGCTATTCTCCTCTCTATCCTCGTATTTTTCTTCCACAATCAAACATTTGCTTTTCCTTTAGCTGTTATGCCAGCATTTCAGCTTCAAGATACATTTCCCTTTTATTGCATTCCAGAAATTTTTAACACTGTCCTAATTCTGTGCTATGTTTTCTAACAATCTATATTATCACCTATGAACTAACTACTACTGTGCAGATTTATTTGCTCTATTCACTTTTGCGGTATGCACTTACTTGTACTGTGGTAGAAACCAAAGAAACCCAAAAATTTTCTCGCCTTTTTCTTTTTGAGCCAAAAAATACCATTGTCTCGAGACTAAGCTGAATTTATTATTCAAAATCTGCTGCAATTACATGCCTGCTCATTACCAGTAACTTTCATTTTCACACGCCTAAGCTGCGCCTGCTCCAGTTCCTACCAGAGCTGTTCCACTGCTTCTCCTCAAACACGGTGTCACTTTTTCCAAAAACCCAGCCCTGGCGACACCCCGGGATGATGACAACGGCCCAAACTGCTCCTACGCCCAGGACAGAAGCATCAACATTTCAGACGTGTTTTAAGCAGGACGACATCTGGCGACTATTCCTCGGACTCACCAGTGGGGAGCAGCCTTTTCACGGGCAGTAGGAGCACGGACAGCAGAACGTAAGCAGGCGGCTTTCCTTGCTGCACTGACCCACGCAGGAGCAGCACACGCCACGCTCCGCACACATTTCAGTGCAGCGCTGCTCTGTAACACAGCTGCAGCTTCCCGCGGTGCTGTTCTGGCTCTGCTGGGCAGCAGCAACACATTACTTACATTAATTTGCTCCGAAAAACCCATCCAATTAATTAATTCTAAGGAGAGATTCTAGGAGTAGATTAGACTCAGTTATTTTGCCAGCTGAGGCACGTAAGTGGAATTTCTCTGAAGGCATATTTGCCACTCAAATGACAACGTTCTCAAAACCAAAAGCCCCTGGCAGATGGCACCTATCCCAGCTTCATGCCCTTCTCACATCCCTTCTTATCTTTTTCTGAATTTATTATTCCTGGAGATCAAATGCATCCCCTGAATGTAGCTGCTCTGTTTTCCACATACAGAAAATAATTTTACACTGGACAGCATGCACACAACTGACACAGCAGCGTAACAGATATGGAAGCACAGTAACAGATGATCCTCGCTGTTTTCCTTCACAATTTTCGCTTGTAGTGCAATTAGCAGAGTCCTACAGCAAATAAGATTTAAAGTCATTAACTGTCTGACAACCTCTCAGCCCCTACCAAGACTCAGTTTAAGACTGCTGGATTTCAGGTTTTAGTGTAAAAAGGGTTTTTAACTAAAATAAAATAAAATAAAATAAAATAAAATAAAATAAAATAAAATAAAATAAATCCAAACCAAGCCATTCCCAGGAAAAGGCCTTGGGCAAAGAGGTGCAGCTGTGCTTTTTCTCACACCAACGTTTTTCCACAGTGTTACTGCCAACAAATGACTGCAATCAAGCGTGAATTTTCTGAGACACCTCTGGTCACAACGGGCAGTGAAAGCTATGGCACTGGAAACATGTAAGCAGATGTGTTCAACGAAGCACTGAGAGGGAAGACTTGTGTCTTCTGTAACTGGACAGAAGAAACGTTTACATTCAAATCTGAAAGAATTGGCAACGACAGCAGAAGAGGACTTTAGCATAGCAGAATTAAATACTTAAAAGAGCTGCCTCCATTCCTTGCACACGTGAACTTTCATTTCAAGAAAGTGAAAGAAAGGAGATGAAGAGGAGCAGCCTAGAAGAGGATATGGAGTGCTACATCATCAGGACCCAGTTATACTTTGGCAGCTGCTTTTTGGACCAGAAATCATGTTGGTTCGTTAATGACAAACTAATTTATGCACTACAGAAAGCAGGACCGGGAAGGATTTAATGAAGGTGTCTCTGCTCCCAAGTCAATCTGGTGTAATTCCCATTGTCTGAATTTGTCACGTATTTGCAAAGAAGGTGGTTTCCATGGGGTTTCTAAGGCTGATAGTGCTTCATAATTCAACAGCATCCTATGTAACCGACGCAGAGTGAATGGGAGAACCGAATGATCCGTAGGAAAAGGCAGATTACCTATGACTGAATGACAATCCAGGGATTCTGTTAAGTGAAGCAAAGAGAAAACTGCCACATTACATGAAGTTAAGTTTTTTGGATTCTGAACCAACTTAACAATTAGAGAACTTCTTTACAGTCTCGATGTCCAGTGGCACACAAAGAAAGAAATGCTGAAGTCATCTCCTGTTCTGCCCATAGGCTTATTGTTAATATCTGCTGTGTTCAAGGCAGGTATCAGCAAAGCACCATTAGTTATTTGCATTTTCTTAGGTTGCCTTATTTCTTGCTTCAACTTCTGCTTCACTAACCCACTGACACTTGAGAATGCTTAAGAGGCTTTCATTCTGGAAAAAATTTCTTCCTCTCAGTATGGCACACTGATCATACTCATGTGATACAGAAACCTGTTTGCCTTTCATTGCACTGGCAGGGAAACGAAGCGTGTTACAGTTTGCAAAATAAATGTCCAGAAGAGCTTTTCATCTCAGGAATGAAAACTCTCCTAGTTTATTATTTTACATAGCATGATGGCTCCTTGCACTGTAATGAAAGTTCTATTCAGGAATATAAAGCATTCCACAACTATCAGACTATCTGGTCTCATTCCAGAGAAGTTACTATTTGAGACTCTTAGGTAACACACGATGAAAGTTACCTTTATTTCTCTAAATCTGTAGTCTTTCATAACACTCAACTCAATTTCTCCCATCAATACCATCCGTGATTCTATGCACAGCCCATAAGGATTTGCTGCGTAGTGTCTGAACTTTCCACTAGAACTCAATGATGCAAGTCGATGAATTAATCTTTAATCTTCTTTAGCACTGACACCTGTACAAAGCATGGCAATCTTCTGCTATCTATGGCCTGGAATGATTTGAGACACCTCCCGTGGGCGCTGTTTTCAAGGGTCACTCTAAAGCTGGCGTTCTGGCTGGTTTGTTGATGGTACATTCCCAGCCAGTCAGGAAGCAGGTCCATGTGTAACAGTGAGCTAAGTAACACTGGGGAGTCCACTTGTTCTGTGGTCATGATGCCAAAGTGATGTTCTGAGCAATGCTTATGTGTTGCGCACTCCCAGAGACTGTTCCAGTTCCTGTCGGCGCTGCTGAATCTGAAAGCAAAAGAGAAACTGTACAGTTCAGCAGATTCAATTGTTCAGTGACAGGAAGATTCACTTATGAGCCATCAGTGTGGCTAACTCCTTCATACCTTGCAGTAGAAATATCTGCTCACAGCCTCTTGAGACCATGGCTCATGATAAAATTCAGCTCTGCGTTCTTCTTCTGGATTTCCAACTACATCAGTCATCACCTGTGACAAAAATAAAAATACTTTTCACTATAGCTACTCTCCCATGTAGAGAAATATTAGATTTACCTGAGTCAAAACTTATCTGCACTGCTAAAAATATTCAGGGCTGACCTCTAAGCCCAAGGCAAACGGACAACGAATGGCATGAATGGCACATGATGATAACAGGCCAACTGTCAACAGCCCCAACCTCTGCTCCAGAGCAAGTAAGGAGTAATTCCACTGCCCAAGATAAGTGCTGGGATCTCTCACGTTTTAACAGCAGGGAGAACACCAAGCTACAGCTCTATGTATGCAGCTACAGAAGCCCCACAACACCTTCGTTCGTGAGGTCTTCAAGCTGGAGGTGTATTTGAACATTCTTTTAGATGTCTGTTCCCCTTCTGAATATAAGTAATCATCAGAATCTTGACAACAGATCTCTGGAAGATTATTGATTAACAAAGTAGATATTTATATGTGAAGGACAACTCAACAAAATAATTTCACGGCTTTATTGATATAACTGGTTTTGAGGTGGCAGCCTAACTGGTCTTTCCTGCATACTTTCTGCTCTGGGATAGCAGCGTTACACTCACTGTCTTCTTTTCCACCAATTTTCTATCCTGGATGTTTTAGCCACATATGCTATACACATCTAACTATAGTTCTGACATTCTTGTCCCGCTCTTCAAACCATGGCTCACCTTAAGATCCCTACTTTGGGACCGGAGAAGGTCTTGGATGTATCCTTTGGGATCTTTGGAGAAACTCAGCATGAAGTCACGTTGTATTTTTAGCTGATTTATGGATTCGATTGTCTCATGAATCTAAAAGAAACAAATAAGCTAGGAGTTACTTAAATCCTCGCATGCTTCCGCAATCCCGAGGCCAGCCCCACCAGCGCCTCTGTGGTTCTTGTAATGTGCAAAGGTGACAATTCTACCAAGGACCCATGAAAGATCCCACTGAATTTTCCCTTCAAAGCAGGAGTTAGCCCTCATCCTCAAATCACATCTTGTTTTCACGTGCATTTCTGCAATACAAGCATATTCTTCACCTCCTGCACTGAACGGCTGGATGGCACATACATACAACACTGAGGAGCCAAGTCTCACCCTAATGCAATGATTTCCGGTGTATAAGCAGGCTTTTCACCAACTCAGAGATTTTTTGGTTAAGGCACTCTATGAGTATGTTTTTAAACACTGTCCAGTGCAAGAAAGCAGTTATTTCTCTGCTTACTCATCATTATACCTTCAATAATCTGTTGGGATGCTCGAATGTTGTGCTAGCGATTGTCTAATCAAGTCCATGTCAGATAAACTTACAGAACAGCTACGACTTCTAGATTCTTTTCTGCTGAGAAAGCCTACTGATGTCATTATGGCTGCCAAAAGGAATGTGAACAATGAGAAACTGAGAGCATGAAAGATTTGTAGAAAATGAGTCATATTCTCAAAATTATTATGAAATAAGTGAACAGTAACCAGCAGGGAAGAATGAAGACTCCAATGAAGAGTCAAGGACATATAATTATCCTGGATAACAATATTAATTATGATGATAGTTAATGAACTATTAGCACACGTACAAACAGAAACATTTGGTTACCTTGTTCCACCAAAATTCTAGCTTGAAATTGTAAATTCCTCTCTTTATATTTCTTGTATAAATCTATTTACCAAAACAGCTAAGGTGGTCAGGCACATTGGGAGAAACATCCGTCTTCTGATATAACTGTGCCACCAAGTCCTCTATTGTGGACACAACTGCAAAGTATGTTAACAGAAGAGAGCTGCTTTCAACTTCAAACACTCCTCATTTGGGAAAATGATGCAGCCATCTAGAGGGAAATCTCCCATTGCATGCAGCAAGTTCCCTCCAGATGACTGTGTGGCAGCACAGCAACAAATGGTACAAACAGAAATACAGAAGTCAAGGCCTGCATACCCAGAGGTGACCTCAGTAGCTACACTAATCGCAGCTTGTGCTCTGCTGCAGCAAATGCTCAATAAAAGGTGGTAAAGATGTCAAAAATGGGGAGCTGCAATGGAAACAATAATCCTCCAGGTTGGGAATTAACTGTCTGAGCAGCTGCTCTGCTGAAAGTGATCTTTTACCAGAACCCATAGGACCTCTGGTATTTAAACCACCTTTAAAACAGTACATAGGCAGTGGTTGCACATGGTCAGAAATCAACAGAAAATGGGCTGGAATATGTGACACAAATAACATCTGTTCCGTTATATCACACCTTCTGTTCCCTTGCCCTGGGAAGCCACTTTCATGTCTCTCTTTCCAAGCCAGATCAACCATTTCTGTGTGCACCCGCACCAACAGCGCTCCCGACAAGAATCCCCAGCGCCTGCAGAGCTCACCACTGCTGAGCGCACAATTCTCATTTAATAAACGGGCGCAGCTCTGCCAAACTCTTCCAAATGATTTTTCTTCCACTCATTTTCTACCACTGCCACCAGTGCAGCAAGCTGCTCTGCAGCAGTGCATGTACAGCACACACCTGAAATAGGAGATTCCCCTAGCTTTCTCACACATAAATTTAATACTTCACGACATCTCAATAAAAATTTACAGTCAAACAGATTATACGACTCTTGAATACATTAAAAAAGAGCAATGCTGAGCCGGCATTCTGAGTCTATTGTCTCTGCAAATTCTATAGGAGGCATTCATTCTGGAAAATCGGCTAGGGCAGAACGACTCTATCTGGACTTCTAAATACTTCTGCATTTGAAAGTGCTCTCTACAGTCAAAAGAGATCATGACAGTACAGTCACACAGCAGAGACCACGGAATAATTAATCTCAACCAAAAGCAGACATTGCTTTCCAATCAGTTGCACAATGTACAAGAGATTTTAAATTGTTCAAGGGCTAAGTGTAATGCAGAGTATCTGTTTGGCCAGACAGTCCCAACATTTTAGCTGCTTTTTCTTCTTCTCCAAGGTAAAAATGTAAGCACCCCGTTCAGCTCACTCGGAAGTTGTGTGAACATTACCAGCCCCGCTGCGCCCAAAGTCTTTGGTTCACTCATCTCTGTTCATACTCTGCAAAAAACTGCTTCCTTCAACCCATCCAAATATTAACTCAGTTCTTTGCCTCCTTCTCTTTCTCACCAGCATAAATCAAAAGCAAATTATTTTTCCTCACCAATTTATTATCACCACTATTAAGACCTCAATTAATGCCTGTCCTTGAGACTCTTATAGCTCAAAACATGCCATCCATAATTTAAACTACAGTATTAATCTTTCTTTGCTCACTGTATGCTGTATTTCTCCACTTTTCTCGCATCTTACTTCACCTCATCTCCTGTCTATTCAGGCTCGTATTTCTTACTCCACTACCTCATACAGCAATCCCATATCATCACCACAGTCTTGCAGTGTCTTTAGGCACTTCTCTGCCCAATATTCACGTACAGGGAACAAGTTAGATTTTTATTTTCAGTAGTCAATGAGAGAAACTTGTTATCTCTCACTGACCTGCTCAGAGTCTACTTTGGATAAGATTACTTTCACAGAGTCGCCGAATGGTTTGGGTTGGAAGGGACCTTTAAGATCATCCAGTCCCAATCCCTCCTACAGACAGGGACACTTCCTGCCAGACCAGGTTGCTCAAAGCCCCGTCCAGCCTGCCCTCGATTGCCTCCCGGGAAAAGGCATCCACAGCCCCGCAGGCAATCTGCTTCAGTCCCTCACCACCCTCACCGCGAGGAATTTATTCCTAATATCTAGTCTACATCTACCCTCTTCCAGCTTAAAGCCATTTCCCCTCATCCTGTCACTACCTGCCCTCTTAAAATTCCTCCCCCAGCTTTCCTGTAAGCCCCCTTCAAGTACTGGAAGCCTTGTCTATTCCAGGCTAAAGAGCCCCAACTCTCTCAGTCCCACAAGGGAGGTGGATTCGATGGCCAGGGACATCAGAACCACAGAAATATAAGGCACTGGTGGGCACTGGTGCACAGTGCACTCTGATGCCCTTGAGTCACCAAGGGACAAAATCAATTTATATTTCTGGGGTGACTGGGGTTCCAAGAGTTGATCGTGTTGGAGGCCTCCCTTTTGTTGGCAAAGCACCCTATAGTGACTGGCCCAGGGGCTGCCTGTATACTTGGCACTGATTACCTGAGAAGAGGATACTTTAAGGATCCCAAGGAGTATCGATGGGCCTTTGGAATAGCTGCTGTGGACACAAGAGGTGTTAAGCAGCCGCCTGCTTTGCTTGGCCTTCAGAAGATCCGTCTGTTGTGGGGTTGCTATGGGCAAAAGAGCAACAGGTACCGATTGCTACACAAACGGTGCACAGGCGGCAGCACCGCACCAACAGGGATTCCTTGCTCCCCCTTCATAAGCTGATTTGTCAGCTAGAGAGTCAGGGAATGATCAGCAGAACCCACTGGGGGTGGTTACAACAGTGGGAACAAAACTGGCAGCGGAGTGGTAAACATATTTGGGTTGCTGAATTGTGGAAAGACATTGCTGCCCAAATGAAGGATGTGGTTGTAAAGGTGCGCCATGTAGATGCCCATGTGCACAAGAGCCAGGCTACTGAAGAACAGCAAAATAATCATCAGGTAGACTGAGCTGCCAGAACCAAGGTGGCTCAAATAGACCTGGACTGGCAACACAAGAGTGAATTATTTCTAGCTCGCTGGGCCCATGAGACCTTGGGCCATCAAGGAGGAGATGCAACATTGGGTGGCCTTAATTATGGATGGTATTGCACAGCTTATTCTGTGCAATATGCATATATTATTATATATGACTGTGAAGCATGTGCCACAATTAAACAAGCCAAGAAGATGAAACCTCTCTGGGAGGAAGGCTGATGGTGAAAGTACAAATGTGGGGAGGAGTGGCAGGTTGATTGCACCACCTTGCCACAATCTCGCAACAGTAAGCACTATGTGCTCACCATGGTGGAGGCAACCACTGGGTGACTTGAAACACATGCAGTACCCCATGCTACCGCCCGAAACACCATATGAGGTCGGGAGAGGAAACTATGTGACATGGCACCCCAGAAAGAACTGAATGCAATAATGAGACTCATTTCAAAAATGTACTTGTGGATATTTGGGCCAAAGATCATGGGTGGATTTATCCCCTATAGTGCACCCACTTCTGGCAAAATCAAATGATACAAAGGATTAAAAACCACGTTGAAAGCAATGGGTGGTGGAACATTTAAGCACTGGGAGAAGCATTTGGCAGAAGCCACCTGGTTGGTCAACACTCAAGGATGGGTCAATCGAGATGGTCCTGCCCAATCCAGCTCTCTACATACTGTAGAGGGAGATAAGGTCCCTGTGGTACATGTAAAAAGCACGTTGGGAAAAGCAGTTTGGGTCTTCCCAGTTTCTGGAAAGGGCAAACCTCTGTGTGGAACTGTTTTTTCTCAGGGATCTGGGTCCACTTGGTGGGTGATACAGAAAGATGGGGATGTTCAATGTGTACCACAAGGGAATTTGATGCTGGGGGATGCATATATACACGTCACAGAATCACAGAATCACAGCATGGTTGGCTTGGAAGGGACCTCAAGGATCACGAAGCTCCAACCCCCCACCAATGCAGGGCCACCAACCTCCCCATTGCACAGCAGCCCAGGCTGCCCAGGGCCCCATCCAACCTGGCCTCCAACACCTCCAGGGATGGACGGGGCATCACAGCCTCTCTGGGCAGCTGTTCCAGCCCCTCCCCGCTCTCACAGCACACAACTTCCCCTCACATCCAACCTCCAGCTGCCCTCCCTCAGCTCCAAACCATTTCCCTCGTCCTGCTGCCATCTCCCCTTGCACAGAGCTG